TCAGGTCTGGCAGGAAGTGCTTGAGAGCTAGAAACACCGCCATCATTTCCAAACGATTTATGTGCCAGGAAACCTGATGGTCCTGCCAAAGACCTCTCGCCGAGCGACCACTCATGATCGCCCCCCACCCGTGAGGGAAGCATCCGTCGAAAGACCAAACGCGTCGACAATAAGCCCCCAACACTGGGCCCTGGGCGAGGAACCAAGGTTTTGCTCCACATGACCAAGGCACGAAGGCAGCGCCGCGTGACCTTGATCAAGCGAAATGGATTTCCCCTCGGGAAAAACCCCTTGGTCCTGAGCCACCACTGCAGGGGTCTCATGTACAGAGGCCAAAAGTGATAACGTTGGACGCAGCTGCCATGAGACCCAACAGTCTTTGAAACTGTTTCACAGTGAGTGACCGGCCTAGTTTCACCCCTTTTACGGCTGAGAGAATCGATGAAATACGTGCTGGAGACAACTGTGCCCGCATCGTTGTCGAATCCCATACACCCAGAAAGTTCGTCCTCTGAGATGGGAGGAGAACACTCTTCTTGGCGTTGAGCCTCAGCCCTAGCCGTTTCAAATGGGACAGAACGGCATCTCGATGCCGAACTGCCATCTGCTCTGAGTGAGCTAAAATCAGCCAATCGTCGATGTAATTTAACACACGGATGCCCTGGAATCTGAGAGGAGCCAGGGCTGCATCCATGCATTTCGTGAAAGTGCGGGGTGATAACCCTAGGCCGAACGGAAGAACCCGATATTGGTACGCTTCGCCCCCGAAAGCGAACCTCAGGAACTTCCTGTGATGAGGATGGATGGAAATATGAAAATAAGCGTCCTTCAAGTCTATCGTCACAAACCAGTCCTCGGACTGAATCTGTGACACTATCTGTTTGAGTGTAAGCATCTTGAACTTGAGTTTTCTGAACTGTGTGGTTTAAAAGACGCAGTCTAGAATAGGACGTAACCCCCCATCCTTTTTTGGAACAATAAAGTAGCGGCTGTAAAACCCTGACTCTCTGCTGGGAGGAGGAACCCTCTCTATAGCTCCTTTCTGCAGAAGTGTCAGTACTTCCTGCTCCATGACCAGAGCCTGCTCAGAGTTCACCACGGTGGGAAGAACCCCTATAAACCTGGGCGGACGAGAACCGAACTGAATTCTGTAACCCGATTGTATAATCTGCAGGACCCAATGAGATACATTTGGCAGAAGTTTCCACGCTGCCAAAAATCTACTAAGGGTACCAGTCTCTCGAGACTGGCCTCTGGATTTAATTGAAGAGCCACTTCGGTGCCCTGAAGCAGATAACCGGCAGGGAACAACCGACTTGACTGTTCTACGACCCTCCTCGGAGGATCGTCTGGGGACGCCGACACCTCGGTGCCCTGAAACGGATAACCGGCAGGGAACAACCGAACTGACGGCGCTGCGACTCCCCTCAGAGAGTCGCCCCCCGGAGGGCGCAGAGGAGAAACGATTCCTCGAAACCGTTTCTCCCCGGAGGGGACCACCCTCAGAAGCCTGACAGTCTTGGCGTCAGGACTTCTTCTTAGCCGAAGCTTTCTTAGAGACAATGACAGTCCTCAGATCTGGCCTGTCTCTAATAGGCTTCGACTGCGAACGCCAGCCCGGCCCCCCCCTCCCCTTTGCCTGAGGAGGAGCCCGAGAAGCGACGCTTTCTTTCTGCTGTACTCTGTACTGCGAGGAGCTCGTAGTCGGCCGAGACTGATCTGAACGCCCAGCAGTCTCAGGGATATTAGATCGGCGAGGAAGAAACTTCTGGAAAGCTGCATTTTGTGTGTTCATGTTCACTTGCATCAATACTGACGACATCCAATTCCTCAGAACTGGATAGTCGCAGACTTTGTGCCTCATCCCGGGGAGAAGAAACCGCAGCGCGTGCTTCTCCCTGAGATAAGGCACTAGATCCAACAGGTAAGGGCTGAGAAAGGGCAGAGCCCGTCTCAAACCCCGCTGTTAGATCCATTTGCGATCCCCAAGACGAGCGCCGACGCTGTGCCTCGGCAGCAGCGGGACCCGCGCCTCGGGGAGCGCGCACCGAACCGTCCTCCTCAAAGAACGCCCGGCGAGAGCGGAGCGTCTTCACAGACAGCTTATCGCAATGCTCACAGTCAGCTCCCTCGAGAACTGACTGGGCATGCTCCACTCCCAAACAAGCAACACAGAGCTGATGTGTGTCCCCACCCGTGATGAAACGAGGGCAGGGAACAACACAACGCTTGTATTCTTGTTTAGCCATTACACGATATATTGTGAACAGACAGACAACAATAAATCAGACACGGACAATTTCATACAGAGAGCGCTTGTGAAGGCACAGAAGCTGATGCGGTCTATTTTCTGGGGTGCTTTATAGTTTTCCTGGTCATGACGTCATCGCCCATGACGTCTTGTTCTTCCATTGGACAGATTATACACGTGCTTCACGACGCAATCACGCAGAGCGTTCCCACCGCGTTCCAAACGCAGCTTGAGTTCCCTTGAAAGGGAACCACTTTACATGTATAGGATACCAAATTTCAAGGAAGCTTAGTCCAGTCCTTTCTATTGGAATATCATTTTCCTTTTGACCAATCAGGATACCAAGGACAACTAAACTACAGACACAGTGACGGATCATTCAGCACATTTGGTTATGATGCATCCAATACATGGTGAGTTTCACACTGGTCTACGGTTGTGTGTAATCCGTGGCACCAGTGTTTTAATTTGTTTGACTTCTCCATGGCCAGGTTGACTGCCTTTGTCATGAGGTCCTTTGGTCTTGCGAGGCAGTTTATCTTCATAGATCCAAATGTCCTGCAGACTGCAAAGGATTGGTTGATCCGCACGCAGGGTTCAGATGGCTGTTTCGTTCAGCAGGGAACTCTGTACCATAGTGAAATGAAGGTGCATTTCATGTTTCTTAATGCACTGGCACCAATGGACCAAGAGTGAGACTTTTCTGTATATCTTTTTTTTTTTAGGGTGGAGTTGGTGACGGTGTGACCATGACTGCCTACATTGTTGCATCACTGCTTGAACTAGGTGTCCCTGCCACGGTAAAACCGGTCCAGTAGTTGGTGCTCCTTGCAGATGACTCTGTTCTGGCTCTGATATCTGCTTTGGTGTTTTTTAGGATCCTGTAATTGCCAACGGTCTGTCATGCTTGAGGCCTGTCATTGGGAACCTGGGAAACACTTATGCCACAGCTCTGCTGACCTACACCTTCAGTCTGGCTGGAGAGACCACCACTCGATCACAGCTTCTAACTGCCTTAGACAGCCTTGCTATTTCTGAAGGTAAGATTTACCAGCTGCTTGTTTGAGATGTTCATCAGGGTCTTTGGCTTTAACTCCCCCATCCATCTTTATCTAAGGCACTAAGCTCCATTGGTCTCAGACGACATCTGGTGATACTCTGGCGGTGGAGATCAGCTCTTACGTGCTGCTAGCAGTTCTAGCTGTTCAGCCTCTCACAACGGCTAATCTGGGCTATGCTAACCGCATTGTCAACTGGCTCGTGACCCAGCAGAATCCCTATGGAGGCTTCTCCTCCACCCAGGTGACTGACTACTAAACAGTGCAATCATTGTAGAGTCTTTCTGGTTAATTTGGGCAATATGAGTTTAATATTTATTCACACGAACCAGATAACATGCAATATGGAATCTTCAGAAAAGGGGTATGTTCCCTGCATTTGCATTAATACATGCACAAACAATTAACCGCAAAGGATTATAATTGATTACGTATGTAGACTGTATTTTACAGACAGGTTAAAATTAGTTCAATTGTTCTTTAAAACAGACAATTGATAATAATATTTAATTATCTATAAACTAAGGATAGATCCTTGTGAAATTAATTTGTGATCTGATATCCGTTTGTCAACTGTTCATGCTATCTTTCAGTTATCACACAGAAATCATATTCGACTCGGAAAGGCAATCGTTCTGGCCGTAAAGATAACCTTCCTGTCTTCCAAAGATGGCCTGCTAGTTTATTTTGATAGTTTTAAAGCTCGTAGCTTTGGATGTTGCGTTAAAGGGATATGAGCAAGAGACCGTAATTCCTGAATACCGAGATCCTGACTGAGACGACTCGGTTTTTGGCGCGACTCAGTCTTTGTCTTGTCAAGGCTGTTCCTTTGCATGTTATGACAAGGGTTTAACTAGACTCTAATCAAATATTTAAAGCTTTCCAGATGTAGGGTATCTGGACTGTCAGTTGGGACTCATTAAAATTCTACATTTTGAGGATTTAAAAAAAAAAAAATTTATATAAAATCTGGTGCTTGTTTTTAGGACACAGTGGTGGCTCTTCATGCCCTGTCTGTGTACGCTGCTCAAGTGTTCAGCTTGGACGGGTCCAGCTCTGTTACCGTACAGTCCTCAGGAGGAGACTCTTACAGCTTCAAAGTGAATCGGGACAACAGGCTGCTGTATCAGGAGAAGCCGCTGAAGAACGTTCCTGGAAAATTTAGTGTTAAAGTGTCAGGATCCACCTGTGTGTCTTTACAGGTCTGTATCTTCACCCACTCGATGTATTGTGTACATCCAAGTATAAGCGTCTTTGTTTCACTTGTACTATAGGTTGCGTGTTTCTACAACATCCCAACACCCGTTAAAGTCTCCAAGACGCTGCGTGTCGAAGCGAAGGTGACTGGAGACTGCCAAGCGCGTGGAACCAATCTCATGTTGAGGTTCACTGTGAAGTGAGTAGCATTGTGTCCTGAAACTGTTTGATTTCCAAAAATGAAGCGTGTTCTTATCTTGTCAACCTTTTATTCCCCTCTCAGATATGACGGTGTAAAATCAAGCACTAACATGGTTCTAGTGGACATTAAGCTCCTGTCGGGCTTCACTGCAGATACATCACTGGTTTGTATTTAAGAGGGAGTCCTAAGATTCTTTAACCTGCATGAAGTTGGCCCCCAACACCACAAAACGTCATCTATATATACATTGACGTTTTGTGTTGGGAGCCAACTTCATGGCCCCCAACATATTTTTGCACGTTGGGTGGGGGTGGCAATGTCACACAGGTGATGCAGCTCCTTCAATTTTTAACTGTGTAGATGGTCTCTTCCCCTCAGCTCGGTTCTTCACCCCAAACGTTTGCTCCGCTAGTGGAACGGGTTGATGCTGAAGATGATGGTGTCATAGTGTATCTGAAAGAGGTGAGACTGTACACTTGGTATATTACTAGCTGCCATTTTCTCATACGCTGCTGTTCATCCTTTGTCTCGCAGGTTCCCAAAGGCGTCCCCATGAGTTACACTCTGCAGCTGAATCAGGTTCTTGCAGTGGAAAATCTCAAGCCTGCAGTCATAAAGGTTTATGACTACTATCAGACAAGTATGCTTTCTAATTGTGCTTTGCTCTGGCTGAATTCACTGAGAACGATCTGGTTAATTCTTTTCCTCCTATTTCAGGTGATTCGTTTGAGACTACCTACACATCTCCCTGTTCATGATTCGATTCAGTACTGGCTATAGGATGCTTGACAAATAAAACCACTTTTAGACCCAGTTCTGTTGCCTCTTGTTCCTCCTGTGGCGTTAGATTGAATTGGGAAGTTGCAGTGTTCATGAGTGTCTATTTGTCCTGTGACTTCAAATCCTTAATATGGCTCACTCAACAGTTGTGGTTCTTTGAACTTTTTTTTTTTTTTTTTTTTTTTTTTTAACTACTTTAAAATGGTGGCACTTTGCTTGCAGATGAACCTTTAATCAACTGGTTAATTTAACCTTTTCTTTTCCAACCATGGCTTTTAGTGAATAGGGCTTTTTACACTCAACTGAACCTGGGGTTATTGTCCTTCTTAAAGGGGTCATGAACTGGGAATCCAAATCATCCTTGACCTTTTGACAGATAAGGGTTTGTTAAACTATTAAATATCAACTTTCATATGCCAAAAATAGCATTAATTGAAACAAAGTTCAAAAAACGGCACTATCTCTAAAAGTAGAGACTTGCGGTCACAGGTCCGCTGTAGACTTGCTTTGCAGAAGAATATCAACATTTGTCTACATCCCTGCACCTTTGGCCTCGCCCACTGGAGCATTAGTGAATGGTTGCTTGAGAATGACATTAAAAAAACAAAACCATTACCTTCCAAATAGGAAAGGAAAGTGCATTGCAGTGTTTGGTATATTTCACTGGTGATACTTGGTAATTCAGTTGTTTTTATGCGAGCTTTGCAAAAAAATGTATAATCTGGATTTGCCAGCAACACCACTCAAGTAATTAATCAAGTTCAGGCACTCTTTCTCTCCAATCGTTTAATACTCTTTATGTACCTTTAAATCAAGCCAGTGACTAAAATATCAACTTCACATTTCTCTTAGGATGAAAATAATTTTATTGAAATGTATACTGGACACTGGCCAAAACTTGTTATCAATGATGTTGTTACAATGCACAATGAAGCTCTTACTGTATTCGCATCCAGTTTGCGTTTTTTTATTTGGTGAAAGCATTCGTAGCAGATTAAAGCAGATTGTGAAATACTCAGACCGGCCCGTCTGGCACCAACAACCATGCCACGCTCAAAATTGCTTAAATCACTTTAAATATATTAAATATATTTATATTTAAGTTCAGGAGATTGTCTTGACCAGGACCACACCCCTAAATGCATTGAAGCATTGTGCCATGTGATTGGTTGATTAGACAATTGCATTGATAAGAAATTGAAGAGTTGTTACTAATAATCCTTTAGTTTAGTGTAAAGCACATTTGGTTATAATGAATCGACTAAAAGTTCGATTCCACAATGTTCTACTGTTTTCAGTTTGTCACAACCTTCACGGCCAGGTTGGCTGACTTTTGTCACGAGGTAATTTGGTCTAGCAAGGCAGTTTATCTTCATTGATCCACATGTCCTGCAGAGTGCAAAGCATTGGTTGATTTGCAAGCAGGGTTCACACGTCTGTTTTGTGCAGCAGGGAACTCTGCATCACATCAACGAGATGGCCACCATTCAATCCGAAAGACGTCATGTAACCACTTCAATAACTCTGAAGTTGTTCAGTTAAGCTAAATAAGCTGCATTGAATCCCTTTAACAATGAAGCTTTACAGTAGGCCTACATGTCAGATATGATTTCATATCATATTCTATAAATTATATTAGTTTGAACTACTTGTAGAGATTATGTTAACAGGAAATGTTAAAAGCTCTAGTCACAGAACAAAGAATTAAGTTTGATTTATTGTAATTATTTTAAGAAATCTTTAGAAAAAAAAACTGAGGTGGAGATTTGTTTTTTAACCATGTACTGCCTGCAGAAACACTGCATCTGTAGGGGCTGCCATTGTTATTTTGTATGGTTTCGCGGGCTATGTGACGTCAAAGCTTGTAACTGGGAGTACATCGATGTAGTACGAGTTCACTGGCGGAAAGTCGCGGGCATGACTGCCATTCCAGTGCACTTTCACAGGTAAAGGTTGAAAAAACACGGGATACAGCATCCCTGGAATGAGACATTAGTACACACAAGTGTATGAGCCGTTTCCGCTCTACATCCTAAACTCCTACCGTCGATGCAACCCACTTCCTTTCTGGCGGGCTGGGTTTGTTTTGCTAGCTAGCTCCGTTGTGCCGACAAAGCACTGATATCGCAACGACAAAGAGGATAACAATTACATCATGATGAAGAAAGGTGGTTCGGGAACTGAACGAGTGGTTAGATGGAGAGTGCTACAACCGCAAACCAGCTACAAAGAGGCAATGTCCATGCACTCCATTATTTACACACAAACACACTCACTCACACACAGTATCATGCCTGATACTTTATACTTTAAACGAAAGTATAAGCCAGCAGCCCCTCATTGACCACTGCTGTAACGTTACACACAGCAGAAAAAAAAAAACATAAAATCAGGCCTGTTTCTCTTTTGATCTGCCGTCGAAAGAGAAACAGAAACTTCTACTACATATCCCAGATAGCAAACTGACATTGAATCAACGTGGAAATATGACATCGAAACAACGTTGATCTGACATTGTTTTGCTCATCGAATTAACGTTGAACCAACGTCAGACGCGTCATTCTTTCAAAACTAACGGAAAATCAACTTGAAATCAACGCGTTGTTTCAACGTTATGAAAGCAAACCAATTTTCAATTTCATTTAGCTTTGAAGAATGCCGCGTCTGATGTTGGTTCAACGTTAATTCGATGAGCAAATCAACGTTGTTTCAATGTCATGAGAGACGTCGTTTCCACGTTGATTCAATGTCAGTTTGCTATCTGGGATATGATCCACTTTAAATAAAGATTAATGTTGAAATGGGTGAAATGCTCCTTTAATTACCTGGGCTCCGCCCTAAAGACGTCCTGATTGCCTGTGAGTGATGAATCAACCTGTTCTGAATTATTAAGAGCGTTTAAATAGCACTGGCATCAGTGCAGCTGATTTAGAGTTAAGCTGTAGAACAGTGTGGATCTTAACAGAAGTGGTGCAGGGACGGGTTTGCGAAAGAGACTCTTGATTTCTGTGTAGTCTTGGGTGATTGCTCTTCATGGCTGTGAGGGAGATTTTTGTTTGGAGAGGGCTCATTTTAGCCCTTTTCCTCTTTGCTGTTGATGGACAGAAAAGGCCGTAAGTGCTATGGGCTTTAAAGCGAAAACTGGCCAAATGTTTAATCTTTGCAGAATGATGCAGTTTTAAAGATTAAAGGTGGAATACCTAAGATTTTTGCATTAAAATATCCAAAAATCACAAGGCCAGTGTTATATATATATAGTTAAGATGATAACTCACAATGTTCCAAATGTTTCAAACAATGTTTAAATCGTGAGAAAATTGAGATTTTAACCAAGGAAACGGGGCGTATGAGCAGGGGTGAGCTGGGAGTCGCCAGTCAATCGCGTCATATCCGCTTACCTCGGTTTCCGCTCGTACTACGTGTAGTCCTGGACAAATGCGGTAGTTGTGCGTTAGCGTCTATCAAGCAACAAACGTCAGCTTGTTTCGCGCATTTGTTATGGAATGGAGCACAATTGTTTTCATTTATTCTCGGAATGTGAACTGTTGGCTGTAAAGGGGGTCGCACACCGGACGAGAAGCGCCGCGCCACGTTTAGGACGACTCCACAGTATCGCAGACCGGACGCGCACTCTCATCAGTGTATGGCCAGCAATATTGTTATGTTTAATGACAGGAAATGAAGATAATGTCTGTTCTATGTTATGATTGTACTGTACAATTAAATACAATCGTTGCGGAGTCTGCAGTCTGAAAACTTTACCTCAGAGCATCCGTTCACTGAATGATTTGAGAATCTCACCTGAAGAATCTAATAACATCAGCAATTGTCATTCAAGCAGCTGATTTCTGTAAATGACTGCAAAACTAAATGCATATTGCAGCATAAGGCGAAGTCAGGATCCATTAGCAACGATTTGAGACAAAAATAATTAAAATTCTATATAAAACTATGTAAATGACGCTCTGTAAATGTCTGATTTATCCACGGTGGAGTTGAAAACAACAGTTCCCATCATTCCGCGTTCCTCCACGTCGTCATCAAGCAAAGCCGTTGTTGTTTTGAATGTAGCGCCCTCTAGCGGCATCTAAATCTTAGGTATTGTAGCTTTAAGCACCAAAGCATAAACCGTTCAGAAAAAGTTAATCCTGTTGTACATTTTCTTATCAAGTGGTCAAAGGATGAATGGGACACCAAACTGCTGTTCATTAACTTTTTTTTTTTTTTTTAATACAATGTTCAATTGAGTTTGTGTGCTGTTGGAATAATACAGTAGTTCCTCGAATATATTTCTCAACAAAATGGCTGTCTTGTGCTCTTATTTTTTGACACAGGCACTGTTGCCAAATCTGAGCTTTTCCTGTGTGTTTTCAACTTTAATTTTTTATAATGTTAAAAGCTTGTCCCACCAAGATGACCAACCCATGTTTGTTACTTCAACCCACTCGCTGATGGAGAGAACTGCTTTGGCCCATTTTTGTTTGATTGGCTGTTAAGCTTGTTTTGATGCACAGGCCAAGCTACCCTGTGTGTCCACTTTCTGGGAATGTTCAATCAACATGTAAATAATCTGACCTGAGTTCCTTTAGTCTCTGAACCTAAACGTCATGATGTTTCCACAGATTATTCATGGTGACGTTCCCTGCAGTGATTGAATCTGGATCAGATGCCAAATTGTGTGCAAGTCTTCTGAAACCCCAAGGACGTCTCACAATGACTGTTTCCCTGCTTGATGATAAAAGGACGACTCGACTTGTGCAGCAAGTTTCTTCAAAGCCATTTCACCGCTGCTTTAGTTTCCAGGTCTGTTATCATGAGACTGAATTTTTTTTTTTTCTTTCTGATTTTGTAGTTAACTGAGTTTCCCTACAGGCTCCTCGAGTAGATGGAGAATCTGTTCAGATGCTGAAGGTAGAAGTTCAAGGGAATGTCTTCAGGGCGTCTGATGAGAGGAAAGTCATGTTCAAACGTTACTTGCCTTTGACCTTCATCCAAACAGACAAACCCATCTACAATCCAGGACAAACGGGTGAGCTGTGAATGAGCCTTTGTTGAATATGAGAGGTGTAGAAAGTCCATTATGGTAAAAGTTCTGATCTTTAATTGCATAATGCACTTATGTGTTTATTGCTGTTTTTACAGTGAATTTCAGAGTTGTCACCATGGATGCCAAATTTGTGCCTCTTGATCAGATGGTAAGGATCAAATTGAACAAATGCAAATTTATTGTTGGTTATTTTTACTTGCACAGTTTTGCAGTTTTCTTCAATGACTGCTGCAATATGTTCTTTTAAATGCTTAATATTCCTGTCTTTGTCTTTCAGTACAATCTGGTGGTGGTGGAGGTGAGAATTTGATCTGGTCCGAGTCTTTGAATGGAGCAGCTGCCACTTTGTTCATTTTGTTTGCCGTTTTTATGAGCTGTTCCTGTTTTAATAGGACAATAACAGTAACCGGATTGGTCAGTGGACAAACATTTCCTCAACGGACTGGATATTGCAGCTTTCTCACGAGTTAAACCCAGAGGCTCAGATGGGGATGTACACATTAAAGGCTTTTATTGGTGACCAAATGGTCTCCCATGTTTTTGAGGTGAAAAAATACGGTAAGTTGTTGTGAATAATTTCAACAGTACAACGACAGACTTGAGGTCCTACAGCATTTCATTTTTTGTCTTAGTTTTGCCCAAGTTTGATGTGACCGTAAACACACCACAGATGTACAGTGTTGGAGATGTGGGACTGAAAGTTGAGGCTTGTGCCAAGTGAGTTAAACCTAAAGATATGTATTGTCTTGTGGTTGGGTAGTTATTGACTTTGTTGTTCCTTTGGTGTTTCTCAGATACACATATGGCCAACCTGTACCTGGCCAAGCCTTGGTGGAAGTGTGCCGTGATCCCTTTCCATACGCTGCGGTTCCTGATTTGACCCGTCGTTGCCTGACTAAAACTGCAAAGGTTTGACTCCTGCCTTACAGTGGAGGGTTTTTCTTGTGCTTGAGTTTAATGTGACTCTTTGTTCTGCTACCAGATGAACGCCACTGGCTGTGTCTTCCTTAATGTCGACGCATCAATGTTTTTTGGCACCAAATTTGAAAATAATATGCAAGACACTTTTTTTGTAAGTGTGAACGTCACTGAGGAGGGAACAGGTGAGCTATTGGCTGCCTTGAACCAATGTCATGTGAATGAACTGGATTGTTTATTTCAGTTTCTCTTTCCCAGATGTAGTGATGTCAAAATCTGCAACAGTGTCCATTACGTTTGAAGTTGGCAAAGTCAAGTTTGTGGACATCCCGGAATATTTTGAACCTGGATCAATGATTAATGGGAAGGCAAGTAAAAGTTAACTTGTTGCATAAGCCTTCACATTGGTTCCCTTTCCTAATCTTGATCATTCCCAACAGATATCAGTGTCTCGTTTCGATGGTACTCCAATTGCAAACAATTTGGTTTATCTCCTGGATGGGAACAGCTGGCCCAATAAAGTGCTGATGGATCTGACCACAAACCAGAAAGGACTGGCCACATTTTCTCTCAACACTGCCAATCTTCCTAAAGCTGCTCTCAATCTGGTGGTATGATTTGCTCTTTGTATTTTGAGATGTAGACATCTTAATTACTCCAAGAAACTGATTTAATTTTTTGTTCCCCAGGCAAGTGTGACTGTAGTGGTTGATAATGGTTACAAATTGCCATACCTCACTACAGATTCAAGAGTTGTTCAGCTTCTCCATCCTGATTCCTCCAGTAACCCATCTAGTGAACTGACTATAGTGAAGCTCGAGCAGCCGCTCAAATGTGGTGCTACGTTTCCAGTGACTGTGAAGTATTTATTTGTTGGAGAGGCTGGTGGCTACAGCACTGACCTCATCTATATGGTGAGTGGACGTCACATATAAAATTTTATTAGGAACCTGTATCTGGCTGTGTTTATGTATCTGGCTGCCTTTTTGTCAGGTCTTGTCCAGAGGAGTGATCGTACTCCATGGATTTGAGACGGTCAAAGCGAGGGGTTCTAGTACCGTCACAAGTGGCTCGGTGTCGTTCCAGCTATCTGTCAGTGGCGATATGGCTCCAGAAGTGCAGATTCTGGTCTACTGCGTTCTGCCCAGTGAGAATGTGGTTGTTGGTAGTGCGTGGTTTGAGACCGAAACTTGTCTCCCAAACCAAGTATGTGCACTGGGATCTTTTAGTTTAAGTGACTTGGAATGGTAACTTGTCCTACAGAGTGTTTCTTGTTCCAGGTGTCTCTAAAGTTCTCTCCTGCTACGGCCGTTCCTGCTGAGAAAAATGTTCTGACGGTCTCTGCTCAAGCAGGATCTCTGTGTGGCATCAGTGCTGTAGATCAGAGCATCCGGATCTTGGAGCCAGGAAGACGCCTGAGCGCAAAAATGGTATCAATGAGCAGTTGATAGAATTTCTTGTTGGTCTTGACCCACTTTCTGTTTCAGCTCTAAAATGTGTTATGTTGATGGGTCAATTGGACAAATCTATTATGATCATGATCAAGGCTTGACGTTTAACTTTGACCTGATTAGTTGACAGTGGTGTGCTAATGTACTTGAAATATATATATATATTTTTTTTTTTTTTTTTTTTTTTTTAAAGAACTCCTACAGAGTCACTGGGGAGTACTTGTAACGTTAGTGTTGTAAAAAAACTCAAAAGACCCCTTTGAATCTGTTATGTTAAGATACAAATCTTGCATAATGTGCCTTTTTAAATAAGATCTAGGGTGGTTCCGGTACACCAGCCATGTCAACGCAACAAATAAATGAGAATTTGCTTATCAAGGTAGAGCTTATTTAAATTCGCACCTACATCTTTATAGAAATCAAAAAGAAACCGAAAAGAAGCTGCATAGAGAAGCTGCAGAGTGTGCCTCTTTAAATGTAAAACCACTGTACACACCCAAATCAAAACTACAAATGTAAAACACAGGTCATTCTCACTAGCTCAGACAAAGAAAAACTTTACATAACCTTATCAATCTTCATACATGATATTTTTGTTATGAAGACTTGCATGCAACAAAACTACTTTTTTTATGTTTTCAGGTGTTTGACTTGCTTCCGGTGCGATCCCTATCGGGCTACCCATACAATGTTCAGGATGACTCTGAGTGTCTAGGTTTTCCACCCAGTCTAGCTTTTGACAGAGATCCTGCCTACACTGCTCCTACAAATGAAGCCTATACAACCTTCAAGGTAGAGAACGTTAGTGACCATGTAGTCACAAAATAAGGAGTCATTGAATTGAAATCTGTCTTGTTATGACTTGCACTCTGACAGAGCCTGGGAATGAAGGTCGTAACTAATCTCGCTGTACACGCCCCTCCGTGCGCGCTGTATCCCAGTTTCCCAGATGGTAGGTCTATGCAGAGCCAACCTTTTAGTGAAAAATTCTGCATGACTTGGTGAACTTGCATTCAGTTATGTGAGTTTACAACTCCTTTGTGGATCAGCAAATTTTGTGGTGTAAATCACTTCTGTAAATGCAATGATGGCCAGATTATTCTGCAGATACTAAGAGTTTAGAGTAAAATTACTTGTCTTTTTCAATGAATTTGAATCCTCCTGTAGCTCTTCCAGCTCTTCCAGTGGTTCTTTCAGAGGCTCTTCCAGATGGAGGCGACACTTCCTCTTCTGTAGTGACTGTCAGGAGTTACTTTCCAGAAACATGGCTCTGGCAGCTTACTGAAGTGGGGTCAGTGAAGCATCTGGTTCCTTCTAAAGCTACCAACCCAATTTTTACTTCTGTTCCTCTTATTTCTCATTTCATTATCTTTCAGAAACACTGGATCTACACGAGTTCCTCTCACTGTTCCTGACACAATCACTACATGGGAGACTGAGGCGTTCTGCCTGTCCTCTAAAGGTTTTGGTCTGGCTCCTCCTGCTCTGCTGACGGTCTTCCAGCCCTTCTTCCTGGAGCTCTCCCTGCCCTATTCCATCGTCCGTGGAGAGTCTTTTGATCTGAAGGCCACGGTCTTCAGCTATCTGTCCAAGTGCATCATGGTCTGCCATGGTTTCCTTCTCAATAATTCATCTGTATAGAGAAGGTCATGTGTCTTAGCCCTGTGCTCCGTTTCATTGTTAGGTTAAAGTAACTCCAGATTCATCCACGGACTTCACTCTTGAACCATATTCTGAACCGTATGTGTCCTGTCTTTGTGCCAATGGCAGAAAAACCTTCAAATGGGTTCTCTCAGCTTCTGTTCTCGGTCAGTTTTGCATCATCTCTCTCTAAGTTAAGTGTATATTAGGTGGTACTCAATTCTTCTGTCACTGCAGGAGCCGTCAATGTGACTGTCAATGCTTCAGCTGAATCATCCCGGACTCGATGTGGCACTGAGGTTGTGACCGTACCGACGAAAGGACGGGTTGACCTAGTCACTCGAAGTCTACTTGTCCTGGTAAGTGGTAAATAGCCTTCTGGAGTTTGATCATGGAGCTCATGCTGCTTTACTGATATGGTGTTTTGTTGCTTTAATAGCCTGAAGGAGTTGAAAGGACAAACACCCAGAGTTGGTTACTGTGTCCAAAGGGTTTGTTTGCACTCAATTCCCCAATACAATTTCCCTGTACAGCCGAACATCAGCCTTGCTCTCAATGCTGACCCATTCTGTTTGGTCTGCAGGAAACGTTCTTTATGAAGATGTGACTCTGATGTTTCCAAAAAACGTGATTCAAGGATCTGCCAGATGCTCAGTTTCAGTCCTTGGTAAAACCAGTCATTGAATAGAAACTGGCATGTCAAATAACTGTTTCTGATGTGGGTTTTATGCTTGACCTTTTGTAGGGGACATAATGGGTCGTGCACTGAAGAATCTAGATAAGTTATTACAGATGCCATCTGGCTGTGGAGAACAGAATATGATCATTCTTGCTCCCAATATTTACATCCTGTTGTATCTGGAAGTCACGGGCCAACTCACTGCAGCCATCCGAGAGACCGCCACAGGCTTCCTTCAGAGCGGTATGGATGACCAAATCCACTTTATATGTATTGGATACTAAATTCCAAATAAGCTTAGTCCAGTCCTTTCCGTTGGAATATCTTTTTTGTTTTGACCAATCAGGATACCAAGGACAACTGAACTACAGACACAGTGACGGATCATTCAGCACATTTGGTTATGATGCGTCCAATACATGGTGAGTTTCACACTGTTCTATGGTTGTGCGTAATCTGTGGCACCAGTATTTCAATTTGTTTGACTTCTCCATGGCCAGGTTGACTGCCTTTGTTATGAGGTCCTTTGGTCTTGCGAGGCAGTTTATCTTCATAGATCCGAATGTCCTGCAGAGTGCAAAGGATTGGTTGATCAGCACGCAGGGTTCAGATGGCTGTTTCATTCAGCAGGGAACTCTGTACCATAGTGAAATGAAGGTGCATTTCATGTTTCTTAATGCACTGGCACCAATGGACCAACAGTGAGACTGTTCTGTATATCTATCTTTTTTTTTAGGGTGGAGTTGGTGACAGTGTGACTATGACTGCCTACATTGTTGCATCGCTGCTTGAACTAGGTGTCCCTACCACGGTAAAACCGGTCCAGTAGTTGGCGCTCCTTGAAGATGACCTTCCTGTTCTGGCTCTGATATCTGCTTTGGGTTTTTTTTTTTTTTTGTTTTTTTTTTTTTTGTTTTTTTAGGACCCTGTAATTACCAACGGTCTGTCATGCTTGAGGCCAGTCATTGGGAACCTGGGGAACACTTATGCCACGGCTCTGCTGACCTACACCTTCAGTCTGGCTGGAGAGACCACCACTCGATCACAGCTTCTAACTGCCTTAGACAGCCTTGCTATTTCTGAAGGTAAGATTTACCATCTGCTTGTTTGAGATGTTCATCAGGGTCTTTAGCATCAACTTTCTCCCCTCCATCTCATCCTAAGGCACTAAACTCCATTGGTCTCAGACGACATCTGGTGATACTCTGGCGGTGGAGATCAGCTCTTACGTGCTGCTAGCAGTTCTCGCTGTTCAGCCTCTCACAACGGCTGATCTGGGCTATGCTAACCGCATTGTCAACTGGCTCGTGACCCAGCAGAATCCCTATGGAGGCTTCTCCTCCACCCAGGTTCCTATGACTACCAAACATAAGTGCACATAATTGAGGAGTTTTTAATCTGGTGCTTGTTTTTAGGACACAGTGGTGGCTCTTCATGCCCTGTCTGTGTACGCTGCTCAAGTGTTCAGCTTGGACGGCTCCAGCTCTGTTACCGTACAGTCCTCAGGAGGAGACTCTTACAGCTTCAAAGTGAATCGGGACAACAGGCTGCTGTATCAGGAGAAGCCGCTGAAGAACGTTCCTGGAAAATTTAGTGTTAAAGTGTCAGGATCCACCTGTGTGTCTTTACAGGTCTGTATCTTCACCCACTCTATGTATTGTGCACATCCAAGTATAAGTGTTTTTGTTCTACTTGTACTATAGGTTGCGTGTTTCTACAACATCCCAACACCCGTTAAAGTCTCCAAGACGCTGCGTGTCGAAGCGAAGGTGACTGGAGACTGCCAAGCGCGTGTAGCCAATCTCATGTTGAAGTTCACTGTGAAGTGAGTAGCATTGTGTCCTGAAACTGTTTATGACTTTATAAAGCTTGTTCTTATCTTGTCAACCTTTTATTCCCCACTCAGATACGACGGTGTAAAATCAAGCACTAACATGGTTATCGTGGACATTAAACTCCTGTCGGGCTTCACTGCAGATACATCACTGGTTTGTATTTAAGATTTAGAAAGTCAATTTTTTTTTTCAATTTTTTACTGTGTAAATGATGGTGTCTTCCCCTCAGCTCGGTTCTTCACCCCAATCGTTTGCTCCGCTAGTGGAACGGGTTGATGCTGAAGATGATGGTGTCATAGTGTATCTGAAAGAGGTGAGACTGTACACTTGGTATATTACTAGCTGCCATTTTCTCATACGCTGCTGTTCATCCTTTTCGCAGGTTCCCAAAGGCGTCCCCATGAGTTACACTCTGCAGCTGAATCAGGTTCTTGCAGTGGACAATCTCAAGCCAGCAGTCATAAAGGTTTATGACTACTATCAGACAAGTACGCTTTCTAATCATACTTTGCTCTGGCTGAATTCATGGAGTACGATCTAGTTAATTCTTTTCCTCCTATTTCAGGTGATTCGTTTGAGACTACCTACACATCTCCCTGTTCATGATTCGATTCAGTACTGGCTATAGGATGCTTGACAAATAAAACCCCTTTTAGAACCAGTTCTGTTTCCTCTTGTTCCTTCTGTGGTGTTTGATTGAATTAGGAAGTTGCAGTGTTCATGAGTGTCTATTTGTCCTGTGACTTCAAATCCTTAACATGGCTCACTCAACAGTTGTGGTTCTTTGAACTTGTTTTTTTTTTTTTTTTTACTTTAAAATGGTGGCACTTTGCTTGCAGGTGAGCCTTTATTAATAAACTGGTTAACTTAACCTTTTCTTTTCCAACCATGGTAATAAGCTTTTAGTGAATTTAGGGCTTTTTACACTGAACTTAACCTGGGTTTATGGTCCTTCTTAAAGGGGTCATGAACTGGGAATCCAAATCATCCTTGACCTTTTGATAGGTAAGGGTTTGTTAAACTATTAAATGTTAACTTGCATATTCCAAAAAATAGCCTTGATTGAAACACAGATCAGAAAACAGCAGTATCTCAAAGTGGTGACTTGAGGTCACAGGTCAGTTGTAGACTGCCTTTGCAGAAGAATATCAACACTTGTCTACATCTCTGCTCCTTTTGCCTCGCCCACTGGAGTGTTAGTGAATGGTTACTTGAGAATGACAGGATCGAAACCATTACCTTCCAAATAGGAAAGGAAAGTGTGTTGCAGTATTTGGTATATTTTACTGGTGATATTTGGTAATTCAGGTTTTTACACAGGCTTTGCAAACAGATTTTTACAATATTGATCTACCAGCAATGCCACACATGGAATTAAATGAGTTCAGACAATCTTTCTCTTCAATCGTTCAATACTGGTTTGATTTAAAGGTACATAAACAGTAGACTAAAATAACTTCACATTTCTCTTGGAATGAAAATAATGTTATTTAAACTGAAATGTATACTGGACACTTGCCAAAACTCGTTATCAGTGATGTCATTGCGCTGCACAATGAAGCTCTTACTATCGTGTTTATGACGTTTTTGGTTTGTTTTCTCACCGTTTGGCCCCTAATTATTAGTTAAAAGATTTAGTTACTGTACTTTTATGTGAGGATCGATCATTTAAAGGGGTCATGAACTGGCTTTTTAAATTTTATTGTTGTCTGAGGTCAACTTACGACGTTCGCTTGGTTTTTGCATTCAAAAACATCAAAATGAATAAGTAATAGGCAATTTTGTACCCTAATTTTGAGCCTAGCTGAAAAATGCTGGATTTTTATGGGTGTCTCACACGGAAGATTTGGAAGTAAACACCCACTGCTGTGAAGTTTTGCATATTATAATGAGTTTCAACTTACCTGGTCGATGCACTTATATTGTTTTGAAACGTCCAATGTTGTAAAATGGCAGCTGGAATGACCCAAAGTCTGTGTGTTGCACTGTACAATTCCTGTCAGATCCAATATAGAGGGCACAGCACCGTTCTTTACTCTTAATCAGTCTGCAAATCCAGTCTTGTTTACAGGACAATCCTCAGTGAAATGAAGCGAGCGGACGACGATGTTTTACCCTCATCAGCTGGAACGTCATTAAAAATAAAGTTTATCCATGCAATCCTATTGGAATCCAGAGGAAGCTTATGCAATGACTGTCGTCTTTCACAACCAGGTACTGCACAATATTCTGTGTTGCTCGGTAGATTGATCCAGTTTGTCATCACGAGGTAGGCTGTTATTTAGCTGCGTGTAATGCGAGAATCGGTGGGCGGGGCTAAACTGGTAGAAGTAGGAGTTGATCAACTTCTGCTGGGGTGGTGTTTTATCCTTTGTCGTCATAGTTCCCCACTTTTAAAAACGAGTCGTTTTCAGAGACTGGTGTCAATAAAAGCTTTTATTGGACTAACAAGGACGTTTTCAGTTCTGAAACTTACAGGATAGTTTTATAAAATGATGACCTCTTAGATGTCAAAAGCTCAAAGAAAATTTGATTTCTCAGTTCATCACCCCTTTTACGCAACAGTGCGGTTACTACATTGTGTTGTTTTTTTAAATCAATGTCTGGGTAAGAACAATCAAACTGAATATTCTGCTACACAGCAAAATCCCCACCATTACTTTAACTCTGCTCAGAGTATAGGTCTCACTCTAAAGAATGATAAATAAGATAATTAAGTGATTAAGTGCAGTTTATTCAAAACATGATCAAATACACCATGAATGTATAGTAGTCATGCAGTTCTCTGGGTCAGTGATCATAATAAACTCAGGGGGAAAAAAAAGAAAGAAAGAAAATACAGTAGGCCTACAGCAGTACAGTTAACTTGGTTTAGTTAACACACTCTGTGTGCCTGAATCTCAAGAACACGTTTACATGACAATAATGTCCTAAAACAGAAAAGTATTTCCTTTGCATTTTTCAAATAGAGACAACAACATTGTCAGAATGATCCCCATTCACACAGATCTGCAAAAATGCGGTCCTGTTCATGTGACTCGTGAAGCATTACACACCTATAGACTGAACACATAATGTCACAGTTTTCTTAAAATCACATTTTTGTAGTTTATACTGAGACAATAAAGATATTGTTGTGAAAATGTTTACATTTCAGGCCCTCACACTGCAGTTTTCGTGTCAGTGAGAGGCCAAAACAAGGGTTTTCACGTAAAACCTGACAAATTGTGCGTGGAAACGGCCCCTAAATATCTGTAAACATTTGCGGCCATGTTTAAAGAAGTTTACAACTGTAACTTAATAACTACAACAAAACTCAAAGTAAAATGATGATATAAAACAAACACAAAAACAGTCAATTTCTTATAAATATTCATATTAAATTATTCACATTATGGAGTTTTTGAGTATACATATATAATCAGTATGTTCATTAAGCATCTGTCACCTAAAATAACAGTGAGTGTAAAGCATGTCTGGATGCATCATCATTACGTCGCCTGTATTTCCTGAAAGCATGGAGTTACAGGACGCGCTCCTGCTCCAGCCACACCACCGCCCTCTGCTGGACCAGGATGGTGCTGCGTATGACGGCGAGCAGCTCGTCCGTGGAGCTCCACATGTTCGGCTCCAGCGTACTGAACATCAGGGGAAGAGTCTCCAGCTGCAGCTCTTCCATCTGACACACCTCCATCAGATCCTCCTCTCTGTGACCTGATAACAGCTTCCTGACACACACAAACACACACAGATTTCATTGAGCTCTTAAAGGATTAATTCACGTTTGAAAAAACTTTTGCTGATAATTTACTCACCCCCATGTCATCCAAGATGTCCATGTCTTTCTTTCCTCAGTCGAAAAGAAATTAAGGTTTTTGATGAAAACATTGCAGGATTTTTCTCCATATAATGGACTTCAATGGGAACCAGACGGTTCAAGGTCCAAAATACAGTTTCAGATGCAGCTTCAAATGTCTTTAAACGACACCAGACGATGAATAAGGGTCTTATCATGCGAAACGATCGGTTATTTCAAAACTTATTTCAAAAATGTAACTTTTCTAAGGACAAATGCTAGCCTTGCTCTATTCTGTGAGGCGCGTTTGTAACGTCACGTAATATGTAATTACGTTCAAAAGGTCGCGGGCGACGTAGCCGGAAGTACAGAATCAAAATCGTCCGACATCGTTTTACCTTTTAATTCCTTTTTTTGTAAATGGCGTTTGAGTTAGTTTGCACGTTCAACCTATGCGTTCAACTTGTAAACACTGACTCTGTACTTCCGGCTACGTCGCCCGTGACCTTTTGAACGTAATTACGTATTACGTGACGTTACAAACGCGCCTCACAGAATAGAGCAAGGCTAGCATTTGTCCTTAGAAAAGTTACATTTTTGGAATAAGTTTTGAAATAACCGATCGTTTCGCATGATAAGACCCTTATTCATCGTCTGGTGTCGTTTAAAGACATTTGAAGCTGCATCTGAAACTGTCTTTTGGACCTTGGACCGTCTGGTTCCCATGGAAGTCCATTATATGGAGAAAAATCCTGGAATGTTTTCATCAAAAACCTTAATTTCTTTTCGACTGAGGAAAGAAAGACATGGACATCTTGGATGACATGGGGGTGAGTAAATTATCAGCAAAAGTTTTTTTCAAAAGTGAACTAATCCTTTAATGCTTACGTGATATCAAAAGCTTGATCTTGATCCACTAACCATTTGTCATCTATTAGGCATTCAAACTTTAAGGCGTTTGAACTTTTGTCACATACTTCGAAAGCACCTTTTAAAGTTTAATTCCCTCTGCCGAGAGACACACAGACACAGACGCGCACCTGAACTTGCGGCCCTTCTTGTCTCTGGGTTTGATGTAGATGATGATGGGATAGATGCTCTGCTTCAGGAGGTGCTCCACATGATTCAAGCCTAGCTGAAGCAGACAGTGTTTGTCCTGAACACACACACACATACAGAGTTTAACACAGTGGTGACTCTCGAGTATGTTTTGTGTGTGAGTGTGTGTTTACCTGGTTAATAACCTCTTGAATACTCTGTAGTTTGATTCCCAGTGGTTGATCTGAAGAGTCTAAGAGGAACACACTTTTATCTTGACGCACACAACCCTCCAGCGGCTCTGCACACAATAATAATAATGGGACAAAACCCAGAAAAACGATAATAAATTCCTGACATTATGAACAGAAAGTCATTTTACATTTAAAAGACTTAAGTAAAAAATAAAGTTTTTTAATATAAATTTCCGATGACATTTTTTTCAGATGACATCTTTAGTAGTTTTTTTGTGTGTGTGTGTGTGTCATTTTTAGTACTATAGTATAGTCTACATACATATTTTCCATTTATATTGACATTTTAGTTTAAGTTGTAGCAATTGTGCTGGGTTTTTCTCATTTAACTAGTAAGTATTATACAGTAGTTGCCACAACCCCTGTATCATTGTTATTTTTATGTGTATGAGGTATTTATTTCAGATCTAGTTAAACATATTTGACGTCAAGCAGTTACGAAAGCAAAATATTTTGTATTATTATCTCATTTATTAACATTTATTTTATTACAAGTAACATGTTTTTAGTCGATGCTGAGACTGTGTACCTGGATGGCAGGTGTTGAAGTCCAGACCGGATTCGACCGGTTGCAGAAGCCGCTCGATGATCCCGCGTGACAGCAGAGACGGACAGAACACCACCGGCCGTTTGCTGGAGACCCGAATCATCTGAACCAGACTGAACGGGATCAGCTGCTCCTCATGACCTACACACACACAAATACATGTACAAATACACACTCATTGCTAATGTTGGCTTTTAGTGTTCCTTTTATTCAGTCTGATTGGTTGCATGTATAAGTGGGCGGGGCTTACGGTTACTGAGTGTGTAGAGCACCTGATTGGACGAGCCGATCGCACGATAGTTTGAAGCGACCGCTTTAATGAGCCGAATGTGTTCGGGGGTTTTCTTACTGAACTGAAGACAGACACACAGCAAAAAAGCTCAATCTCTGTGACAGAGAGACAGACAGACAGGTATCTAAAGACAGACCATCACCTTCTTCCTGCATTGATTCTGTTCAATCGCCATCGTACGAAGTCTCACCAACAGCAGCTGCTGAGCTCTGAATGAGAAAAACACCCGTTCAGACATTTAACAAAGAAACGCAATATTATATTAGCAAAAATTCTCATTTTTGGGTGAACTATCCCTTTAATACCTTTTCATTTTACATGTCCAGTAAATGTATCATGATTTAATGATGCATTTGTAAAGGAAAACAAGACAAAAATACCAAGTAAGAAAGTATTTTTTTCAGTGCTGTCCACAGCGATGACATCATCAGCATATTTACATACTGAATTGTGCTTGAAAAATAGAGTTTTTGTTATATAGCCAAAATCTTGTGAGTATGTTTTGCTTTCTAGAGCTGTTTATGTGGTGTCATTAACAAAATACTCTCTAAACGAAATACTTTTAACGTTGAAAAATGTAGTTTTTGTTATATAGCCAATCACAATTCAGTATGTAAATATGCTGATGATGTCATCGGTGTGGTCAGCACCGGGAAAAATTTTTTTTTACTTGTTTTCCTTTACAAATGCATTATTAAATCATGATACATTTACTGGACATGCAAAATGAAAAGGTATGTTTTACTTGATATACTATAAATTTATACAATACAATATATACAAATATAAATGCAAAATAAATACAAATATAATGATAACGGCCCAGTGAAACGATAAAGTTGGAATCGTTATCAGAATCCAGCCAATCAGAATCCATCCTGCATTTTAAAGCGGTAGATGACAAAATAGCAGCGCTCGCTTATTAACAGAATTTATGAATAATAAATGTATAAATGATAATAAACAAAACATTAAAGAGTCTTTTGATGTAAACACGGATATAGTTATCATAATAGTTATCTTTATAATTATCATTCTTGGTGTGAACAGGAATTTAATTTAAATTCTTTATAATATTTCAATGTTTAGTGTGTTTTTGTGTACCGGTTGTAGTTGGGCACGGCTCCGGCCTGCAGCGGCGCCCCCGTGTGTTTGTCCACGCAAACGCAGCGCCACTGATATTTGCCGTTATAACGCGTGTCGGTGACGTGCAGCACATCGTCACAGCGAGCCCTGAGACATGGCGGGTCGCCGTGGGAACTGAGGTCAAGGTTCACGCGCACATAGAACGAGTCGGCACCGGTGAAGGATGGAGACGAGAGTTCAGCCAATAAACGAGAGTAACCTGAAAGAAAGTTATTGAATTAGATACAAATTATAAATTCTGATCCCTCTACTTTTTTTTTTTCTTCGAATGAATTACTTTTTTATGTATATACTGCATATGGAAAAAAAGCATTGCACTGCAAAATAATAATTACTTGTTTCACAATGAAGTTATAATCTTAAAGAGATACATTTTTTTGCAATTACATTAATATGTCACGTATTGTTTTAAGGACGTCTAGGAGTTAACCGGAGAACTAAACAACAAAAAAAGTCATTTTTTCCTAGATTTTCTTCTGCAGTTTCTTGTTTTCCAGCACAAACATGCAAACCTTGTCAAATCAAGAAATGTTTTCTTGATATGCAAAATTATGTTATATTTATTAAGTGTTGAAATTGACCAAAATAAAGTGAGTCTATGCTTAAAACAAGAAAAAATATCTACCAATGCGGTCAGAAAAATAATCTTATTTGCCCTTTGAATCAAGTTTATTTTTCTGACCCCATTTGGTAGGGATTAGTTCTTGTTAAAGCATAAACTCTAGCCTGATTTCGTCATAATCATATTTTTGTCAGAATGTGAGTCTGAAACTGCTCCGTAAGGCTTTGATTTTGAGGCGTGTCTCAACCGAACCAGGAAAAAAAAACCTCTGCACTTAATTGGATAGTCGGTAGACCTACAACCAATCAGAGCAACGCAGTAAGTGAACTACTTTGCATACAGTTGTCAACTACAGAACTTATTTATTTTAGAAGTTAAATAACGAGTGTTGCTTCTTTTACTTACTCCTCCATGAGGTCCACCAAACCACAACGACCACAGGCTTTTCATTACGTCCCATCTTCTTAGCGACCAATCACGTTGGAAGGACGGCAAAAATATCTTTCCGATCGACAAATGCCTTGATTGCAGTTTTCTGTTCGTCTATTGAAATTAATGCGCTGTCGATTCATTTTACAACAGACGCGACAGCGGAATCTATACATCTCAATTCTCCAGCTGCAGTCATCTTTGAGAGAAACCAGTTTAGCGCTCTTTGATAACGTGATGATTACGTCTCTGCAGATCATCTGTCCATCATCGCATAAAGCCCGCCCTGGCAATTTGATTGGCCCGATCATTTTTTGACTGATCATAATTACTCCTCAATGGATCGCGTCCAGAGCGAACTTCCCGACCAAAAAAATGTTGTGGGCGGGGTCCGGGCTGGCATCCAGGCTACATAAACTCACTTCATTACGATCAATTTCAACACTTAATATAGTAAACGTATCTTGATTTGGAAGGTTTTAACCATTTTTGAAGGTTTACATGTTTGTGCTGGGAAACAAGACACAAATAGTCACATTGTGTAGTGAACTACAGATGTCAGTGGATGTTTGTCTCTCACCCTCCTGGTTGTGTGTGTGTTTGAGTGCGCTCGGTTCGGTCCACCACTGCAGTGAGAAATGAGCCACTTCAGCCGTACACTGACTGAGGCGAACACGACCCTCACCCAACAACACCTGATCCAACTAACACACGCACAAGAAAACAAGCATTCAAATGATTAATGATATGAAACAAGAGGTTCTGGAAAGGGGCAGGGCTTAGACATCATCTCTGATTGGTCAGTTTCAATTAATCGAATAAATAAAATTCTTATTTGAGATATTCACTGTGGATTTTTTATATAATGTTTATTAGAGTTGGTCTTATCAATATTCAGGTTTAAATTATTATCCAAACCAGAAAAAGTCACATGATACCTATGACTTTTCAGCAGTGGTCAGGATGGACCAATCACAGTTGTTCACATTTGGTCAAAAATTGATTATTTTCACTATGATACAGGCACTTTACTACAGTGGTTCACTTTTACCTCGAGAATAGGACTTTTTCTGTAAATTTAGGAAATTTTTCCTCATCATCAGCACCTGTCTTTTGTGGTGTGCCCCAGGGATCCGTTTTGGGACCTTTATAGTTTTGCCTTTAAATGCTTCCCTTGGCCCTCATTTTTCAGAAATACAACACTACATATCACTGTCATGAAGATGATTCTCTGTTTTACCTTCCAGTAAGGTTTGACACCACTGTTTCATTCGATGTGTAAATTATTTTAAGAGTTGGATAACAAATAATTGTCTGAAGCTAAATTGAGGAGAAGTTACAGTAGATGACAGGAAGTGATGTCGTGGTCTGAGACAGCAGAGAGTAGCCAGTTCAGCAATGAGGTTTCTTTACAAATATACATTAAGAAATTAGGTTTACTTAATTATTCAGTAAAACGGTACGTTATAAATTAATGTTTAAAATGTGAGAATAATTTTCATTGAGGCATCAGTAGCTATATTATATCAGTGATACTGGCCTTCATTCATAAACAGATGCCATTAAACAATTATTTTCTTTATGTTGTTTCTACATTACAGTGGAAATTGAAGCTCAAATTATTTACACACAAAACATTAATGACTTATATTTTGACTTTATAAAACGATTCTCTAAAGTGTTGGTGATCGCCCCATATGAACAATAAGACATATTTTTCTTATACATATAGGCTACTATTCTTTTTGTCAGAATTTATCATTATAATCTAATTATTTCCTGGTTTTTGTATCACCATAATCCCTAAATACATGTACATCCAGGAAATGGGATTTAAATCAAAAACAATTTCCCCTCATTGTGTGTCCCACTTCTCAAACCAAAGTTACACCCTTGTACACACACCTAAATTATTATTAGGAACACCTATTCAATTTCTCATTAATGCAATGATCTAATCAACCAATCACATGGCAGTTGCTTCAATGCATTTACGGGTGTGGTCCTGCTCAAGACAATCTCCTGAACTCCAAACTGAATGTCAGAATGGGAAAGAAAGGTGATTTAAGCAATTTTGAGTGTGGCATGGTTGTTGGTGCCAGACGGGCCGGTCTGAGTATTTCACAATCTGCTCAGTTACTGGGATTTTCACACACAACCATTTCTAGGGTTTACAAAGAATGGTGTGAAAAGGGGAAAAACATCCAGTATGCGGCAGTCCTGTGGGCGAAAATGCCTTGTTGATGCTAGAGGTCAGAGGAGAATGGGCCGACTGATTCAAGCTGATAGAAGAGCAACTTTGACTGAAATAACCACTCGTTACAACCGAGGTATGCGGCAAAGCATTTGTGAAGCCACAACACGCACAACCTTGAGGCGGATGGGCTACAACAGCAGAAGACCCCACCGGGTACCACTCATCTACAAATAGGAAAAAGAGGCTACAATTTACAAGAGCTCACCAAAATTGGACAGTTGAAGACTGGAAAAATGTTGCCTGGTCTGATGAGTCTCGATTTCTGTTGAGACATTCAGATGGTAGAGTCAGAATTTGGCGTAAACTGAATGAGAACATGAGTCCATCATGCCTTGTTACCACTGTGCAGGCTGGTGGTGGTGGTGTAATGGTGTGGGGGATGTTTTATTGGCACACTTTAGGCCCCTTAGTGCCAATTGGGCATCGTTAAAATGCCACGCCTACCTGAGCATTGTTTCTGACCATGTCCATCCCTTTATGCCCACCATGTCCCCATCCTCTGATGGCTACTTCCAGCAGGATAATGCACCATGTCACAAAGCTCGAATCATTTCAAATTGGTTTCTTGAACATGACAATGAGTTCACTGTACTAAAATGTCCCCCACAGTCACCAGATCAAACCCAATAGAGCATCTTTGGGATGTGGTGGAACGGGAGCTTCGTGCCCTGGATGTGCATCCCATAAATCTCCATCAACTGCAAGATGCTATCCTATCAATATGGTCCAACATTTCTAAAGAATGCTTTCAGCACCTTGTTGAATCAATGCCACGTAGAATTAAGGCAGTTCTGAAGGCGAAAGGGGGTCAAACACAGCATTAGTATGGTGTTCCTAATAATCCTTTAAGTAAGTGATAAGTAAGTGATACTACATTTATGTCAACATATCCTCCTAAATATTCCACACTTCACCTTTAATTCTGGTCTCCCTCAATCTTTATTATCACGACTGCAGTAAAAATGTGTTTCAGTGAAGGAGGAACTTCCTTGTCTTACAGTTTTGAGTCTCTCACCTCGAGCAGTTCACTGCCTTCCTTCAGACCGCATCGCTCCGCGGGCGACCCCGTCCTCACCGTCTGCACGAACACACCCGTCCGGTTGCCCCCGATGATGGTGATGTCACTCGCCAGACTGATGCTTTTGGGCGAAGAGGAGAGAACTGGATCTAAGCTGAAAAACGAACGAAACAAACATGATGAGACAAGAAGAAAGTTTAGGGTCTACTGGTGAAATCGAACCCTGATTCAGATCAGCCGAATCTGTGTGAAAGCAGCCTGTTTCCAAGAGCTCGTACCGCGGTGAGGATGAGGATGATGAAGGTTCGATCACGTTGATCACGTCAAGAGGAAAGAGTTGAGACGGCAGGGAACTCCACGAACTCAACAGACACGAGTCTAAATCCTCTACAACAGACACACACAGTATAGACGTGAATCTTCACTGACCTCACGATTCAGATTGATTCAAATGGTAAAGATTTGCCTGCAAAATTATTCTGAAAGCATCGTCATGCAAATTTATTTTACAAATGAATACACAAAAACTAACCAGTTTTGTTAAAATACCAAAATTTCAGAAGCCGGAAAAATACTAGTGAAATGCAATGATTCTCAACACCAAATATTCTCAATACCAAAAATATCAAAAAAAGCCATTAAACACTTATTTATAACGGTTTTACTATGTTAAATGTTTACTCAATTATTCAATTTAACCATAATAAAATAACAATTGTTTTTAATTAATTATTAATATTGTTAAGTAAACACACTTTATAATCATCAAATCATTATTTTAACACAAAATCCACTAAAAATGTCAACAGACAAGGAATTAATAGGCCAGATTAATAAGTTGTAAGTGGTCAAGTCATAGTCCCCATTCCTGCCACTAAGAGAAAAAAAATAATAATGCTTTGGTAAATCATAATTGTGACTTAAAAAGTGAGATAAAAAGTCATAATTATTAGATAAAAAGTCAAAATTATGAGATAAAAAGACAAAAAGATATAAGGAAAAAATCCTACTTTGGTAAATCATAATTATAACATTAAAAATAATAACGGCATCAAGCCAATTGGTCATTACGATGAGATAATGAGTAATAATTATGAAAAAAGTCAAAATTGTGACAAAATAAATCGTAATTATGACATCAAAATTATTACATAACAATTAGTCAATATTATAATATAAAAAAACTAAATGACAATTATGACATAAATAATTACGAAAAGTCAAAAGAGGTCAACATTAGACAAATTAAATCATAATTATGACATAAAAAGTCAAAATTATGGCAAAAAGATCATAATTATGAGGAAAAAAAAAAGTGAAATTATGATATACCAAGTCATTATTATTAGATAAAAAGTCCAAATAATGAATTAATGTCCTAATTATGACTAAATTATTTTAGATTATGAGATTACATTTATTTTATAGTGAAATCAAGCAATTAAAAGTTTCCAGATAAGAGCAGTGAGAGATTTTTCTCTTTATTGCCATTTGATTATTATCTATATATGACATGCAATGAAGCCAGTAATTGGGCTAATAATTGACATTCATAATACTAATTCAAGGTTTTTTTTTTTTGTGTGAAAGAAGCACGAAGCAGAAGACACTGCATGGCTGAAATGAACCTTCTGCAGTTCATAAGAATCAATTCATAATTTCTTGAACAAAGTAATCTTTTTCCCTGCTATCTTGGAGGAAGATACACAGACAGACAGACGGCTGTACACACACCTGTAGGTGTCTCGTTCTCGTCGCTCCCCCAGGAGTTCAGATCAAACCTGCAAACACAGGCAGTCAGTGAGACGCCAGTGAATCACATATATTTACACTGTTTTCTCCACTGCGCGTCTTACTCCACGTTTGCTCTGCGGTGGATGGAGTTCATGCAGGGAGGAAAGGGGAATGTCGAGAGTCTGTTGATGTCCTTCTCCGTGTTACACTCCTGCATGATCACAAAACTTACAGTGAGATTTCAACCTGAGCTCATGATCATCAGCACATCAAAGAGTAAAATGATCTTTTTTACTTACCGGCGTCAGCAGATTCTCCTCTGAATTTGAGCAATACGAGTCTGTGACACAAACACACAACATCAACAAATCAAGTCACGTTTATTTCTATAGTGCTTTACATCAGACAGATTGTGTCAAAGCAGCCTCACAGAAATAAGCAGGATTCCTTGTTTGTTTCTATGGTTACTTATTAGTATCACATGCGTATGGTTATGTTTGCCATGTGACAAGTTTTAGTTCCCGAAATGTTGTCAATATTACAAAAAATGGAAAGTTTCCTTCGTATTTTTCGAAAAGTAACGTATTTAGAACGTATTTTTGTTTAAATAATTAAATAATTCCACTATAAAGCTAAGCGGCAAAGCTAGTTAGCGTTTTGATCTCATCCGATAGCGTTAGTGCAGTCAAATGAATAATATTACTCACCTTCAGACAGCTCACAGATCTGAGCTTGAGAGGTTGACTGTGAAAACAAGATAACAACATGAGAGATCAAGTACACACCTTTGCTGTTGTTATTATTTTGTGTGAGTGTGAACTCTGACCTTTTGAGCTCTGAGTATGAGTGGGCTGGGACTCAGATCGCCTGAACAGCACGGCCCGAAACATTGATCCTCACTGAACAACGACAGATGAGACTACACACACACACACACACACACACACATCTGTTAGGATCTGTTGAGGTGACAACATTCAATTTAACAGATAAATGTAGACTAAACACAACTAAAATAAATGAAAACAGCTAAAATTCACTATGTAAACAGACATATTGTATTTTTAATAAGTAATTAGATCCCATAAAAACATAAATATTTATGTATAATTAAAAAGATCTTAAAAAGTCACGTAAATTCATAAAATCTTACATTTTCATGAAAATAATTAAGTGTAAATTCTTAAAAACTTAAATATTCACGTAAATGAATAAAATCATAATGTCAAATATTAATGTCAAATATGTATGTATTAATAAGACAAAATTATTTGGACTAATTTAGACTAAGTTTGGACCAAATATTCCTGAAAATGACTGAGTGGTGCAGTCGTACGCAGTGCAGACAGGGGGCGCTCTGCTCTCTCTGCCCTCGATGACTCTCCGTCTCTCTCTGCTGCTGCTCCAGGCTGTTCTGAAGCTCCGCCATGCGTTTGCGAAGACGGTTCTTGTCCAGCAGGCAGTCGGTGAACTCCAGCTGCAGAGCGTCACGACTGCGCAGCGCCTTCAACACACAGTAACAGAAGAGTGGATATGTGTGTGTGTGTGTGTGTGTATGTGTAATAGTGTTAGTGTGTGTGTTTACCTGGTCTCTCTCTCTCTCCAGCTCCATGATCTGGGTGAAGTAGGACACACTCCTGCTCTGCTCCGTCTCCCAGTCCAGCTGCAGAGCCCTGAGCCGCAGCTGAAGCTGCTCACACTGAGACGCCAGCTACACACACATTTTTTTATATAAAATCTCATTCAACAGACTACATGAACTTAATATATTCAATGTATATAAAATGTATGGATTTAGAAGTCACTGAAAATTTTAACTTAATGACACTATCATTTTTAAAATTACAATTATTATGCAAATATAAGTGAACTGATAAATTAAAGAACTGTATATATATATATATATATATATATATATATTTAAAAGGTCTCTGAAGTAGCTGTATTGTATAAAGCGCCATATAAATAAACTTGACTTACATTTTTTCTAAAACATTTTCAACCTACATATTATAATCCGAATTTAGCAATTAGTTAGGGCCAATGTACTTACGATTGATTGGACTTCATCTTTTATTCTTTTAATTAGTTTTTTTAACTTATCAAATAGTTTTTATTCTCTATTTGTATTGTTATTTTATGATTGTTTTTATTCCTTTTCTATCTTTTCTTCGAATCCACTGTGAGACGTCAATGTCAAGTCAAGTCAAAGTTTATTTATATAGCACTTTTTCAAAAACAACAAGTGTTTAACAAAGTGCTGTACACATACATACTTATACGATAAGGACCAAACCAACATGACCAAGATACAAGAAATAAAAGACAGTAATACAATACAATAATAAGAAAATAAAACAAACTCTCACACAGCGTCAAATGCCAAACTGTAATAATAATTTTTAAGATTAGATTTAAAAATAGTAATGGTTTGGGACTGCCTGATGTACAAGGGCAACCTATTCCACAACTTCGGTCCTGCCACTGAAAATGCTCTTTCACCCCTAGATTTTAGTTTCACATGTGTCCCTGAGCAAGACACTTAACCCCTAGTTGCTCCTAGTAGAGAAGTAAGTCGCTTTGGATAAAAGCGTCAGCTACACAGCGCACACAAAACTAGCATACTATCATACAACTCGTACTGTTTCTGTCACATATGGCAGAGAAAGTCAGAGAAGTATGTTGATATGTGATTCTGAATTCAGGAAAATACAGGTTCCCTTTCAGTCGGTCACGTTCGACGTCAGTCTTAGGGAGCCTCTCATCGTCGAGTATTGATAAAATAAGCCAATGCACATTGGCGTGCGAGATTTGCAACTCAATACCAACAGCGCAGGAATAAACACGGAAGCAGAGGGACGCACCCTTTGTTTTTCGCTTCGGAGCTGATCGGTGTTGATGTCTCTGAAAAGTGTCACACGAGCGAGTGTGTCGGCGCTTCTTCAGGAAGTCTCCTTTGGTGCTGGTGTTTCTACAGCTCGAGTGCAGCGAAGGTCGCAAGCTTCGGAGCTCTCAACTGCTGTTTGTTTGACGGTTGGTTAGAGGGCGTTCAGAAGTGAGTGCTGCTCCATCCCGTGTCAGTGTTGCCACGGCCATTCCCCTGTGCGCTCCAGCACTAATGAGAGAGCTATTTCCTGAAAGAGCAACACAGGTGTGTCTGCGTCTTTTTCAAGATGCGGTTCGGGGAGCGATTCGGTTCGAGGACCCGATTACGGCCTCTCACGCACCCCCTGCAGGTATGTGTTGCACCAAACACACTCAGACCTGACTTAGGGACACTCCCGAGACTTTTGAGTTGGGTCCCCGTCTTTCACCTCGCTGCCCCACCGTGGGTCAACAGTGGTACCCTTGCTACCCCTGGCTCAGTTTGTGGAAGCCTACAAAGTGCCTCCCAACCATCAGACTCGGCTACAGTACCATCAGACTCGGCTACACGATTCAGTTCGCCTGACAACCGCCCAAGTTCAGGGGTGTTGACTGTCTTCACTACAGTGTTAAGTGAATGGGCCCCTGTTATGAGTGCAGAGATTGCAGTCCTACTGGCGAAGCAACACGTTCTCATCCCAGGGCGTCATATAGTGACACCTTTGAAATTTCGTCTAAATCCAACGGACATGGCACCCTTTAGCGTCAATATAACATGCACCAAGCTTTGTTCGGTTATGGGTAGGTTTAGTTCTGAGGTAGACCACTAGGAGGCGCATTCTAGTCCATATGTATCTGCGTCACATATTGACGCCAAAGGGTGCCGTCTGCGTTGGATATAGACGAAATGTCAAAAGCGTCAGTATATAACACCTTGGGATGAGAACGGGCTGGGCGAAGGGCGCGATAGAGCTTGTCCCTCCAGCCGATATGAAAACCGGCTTCTACAGCCGGTACTTTATTGTACCCAAGAAAGGCAGTCGGTTATAGCCAATCTTGGACCTGCGAGTCTTGAATCGGCCCTTTACAAGCTTCCGTTCAAGATGCTCATGCAGAAATCCGTTTTCGAATGCATCCATCCCAGATATTGGCTTGCAGCGATCGACCTGAAGTACGTGTATTTTCATGACTCCATTCTCCCACGACACAGGCCATTCCTGCGCTTTGTGTTCAAGGCTTGAGCGTATCAGTACAATGTCCTACCCTTTGGGCTGGCCCTGTCGCCAAACGTCTTGACGGAGGTCACAGAGGCAGCGATTGCTCCCATGAGAGGGCAACCATCAAGGTGGTCTACGCTGCCCTCACATTTAGCAACTCACCCACCATCTCCTCCAAAGGATTCAGGAGCATCTGAAGTCGCTTTGTGCCACTTATATCCCCGGCCTGCTCAATCCTGCCGCCGACGAGCTCTCATGACAGCTTGAGGCCCCAGGAAAGTGGAGACTCCATCCCCAGGCGGTCCAGCTGATCTGGAACCAATTCGGGGCTGCACAGATAGATCTGTTTTGGCACTTTTCCACTGCATAGTACGGTACGGTTCGGCTCAGTACGCTTCGACTCGGCGCGGAACAGTTCGGATCGCTTTTTGTTTCCACAGTAGTACCCCTTCAAAGTGTGTGGGACTGATCGTTATTTGTGCGCGCATCTACTGCCATGACATCATCTTAAAAGCGCCACATTTTCAAACCCACAACACAGGAACAATGGAGACTATCGAGGGGATGGTGTTCCTGATTCTCGGTATGTGGTTGTTTTTAACTGCTAGACGGAAAAATGTGTTTAAAATGAGGCTGATGGCAGCAAAACAAAAATACTGCTAAAAAAGTGTCCCGTGTCTCGTGTCGCAAATCCAATGACGCTAGTAGTGACGTTGGTAGTGACGATTCTGTCTGACCAATCAGTGATCTGCAGTGTTTCACGTCACATTTTAGTACCGGTACAGTACGCTTGGAACCTCAACAGACCAGGTACCATTTAAAGCGACCTGAAGCGAACCGTACTGTACCGTACCATGCAGTGGAAAAGCACCATTTGCCTCTCTGGACTCATCCCATTTCCAGTTTTTCCATTCCCTGACCAAGGGGACCCTTGGCACAGGTGCACTGGCACACACTGGCACACAGCTGGTCCCCTGGGCTTGCACAAGTATGCATTTCCCCCACAGACCCTTCTCGCAAAGACACTGTTTAAAGTCAGGGAGGAAGGTCTTGCTAGTTGCCCCTTTTTGGACCAACCAGGCCTTGTTCCTCAAACTGATTCTCCTCTCAACTTTCCAATTCCTCTCAGGGAGAACCTCCTCTCTCAGAGATGGGGCACTGTATGGCACCGTATGTCTGGTTCCTGGATGGGACGTGGAGGTTCTAGGTGATCTACCACAAGCTGTCGTAGACACCATCCTTTCTGCGAGAGCACCCTCTACGGGTGTGCTTAGATTTTGAAGTAGAACCTATTCATTGAGTGGTGTTCTTCACAGAGAAGACCCCCGAAGATGTTCAATCGGTAATGTGCTATCCTTTCTGCAAGTTGTGTTGGGAGTGAAGGCTTCCTCCACCCTTAAAGTGTATGTTGTCTCTATTGCCGTATATCACAATGGAATTGATGGAATATACGTAGGGAAGCACAACTTTATCGGCAGGTTCCTGAGGGGCGCGAGGAGACTGAATCTCTTTAGCGAAAAACAAATGGTGCATGCATCCGCTTCCGTATTAATACCGGCGCTGCTGGGCGGAGCATGAGATGCAAATCTCGCATGCCAATGTGCATTGACTCGTTTTATTAATGACAGGCTCCAAAAGTGTGATCCCAATCATTATGTCTCCGTGCCCTCCTCCCTCATACACCTAACCGAGATGTTTCCTCTCACCCGCTCTCTCTGCATCTCCGAACTCTCCAGCTCTCCCTGCAGTCGGGCGATGGCACTGCACAACTCCTGCCGCTGCTCCACCGCCTCCCGCCGGTCCTGCTGGAGGATGTCTAACAGAGCCTACACACACACACACACATTACTCACACTCCTGTATGTGTAATGATGAGCTGAGAGAGTCTTGTGACTAACCTGATTTCCAGTGTTATGCTCTGTCTTTCTCACAGTGAGCGGCTGCGTCTCCATCGGGCCTGGAGACGCGCTATCACACGCCTCATTGCTCATATGATGCATCAGTGAGGGGGAGGAGCCATCGTCTGCTCTTTTCTCCACCTCCAGCAATCTCTTCCTTAGCTGCTCCACCTGCACGGACACACCCTCTATAAGCCTGACGTGAACTAAGTGCAGCTCTAAACTACATTTTACATAGTGTCTCAACAAGTCAAGTCGAGTCACTTTTATTTATACGGTGCTTTTTTACAGTACAGATTGTTTCAAAGCAGTTTTACAGTGATAACAGGAAAATAATTCAACAATGTTTGTTTTCTAGAAGAAAATAGCATCACAGTCCAGCTTGATTAAGTTCAGTGATGGTTAATCTTTGTTGTAAAAAAGTTGTTAATTAAGTTAATTTATATATATATATATATATATATATATATAGTCGCACTGGAGAATACAGTCATCGTCCAGCTCATTTCAGTTCTCATATAAAGGTGTCAATGCAGGCAGAACAATAATATTTTTTAATATTAACCCTCTGGGGTTGTTCGTTTCAGAGTCACACTCGGGGTGTTCGGGTCCAAATTGACCCAAAGGGTGGGATTCATATTTTAAAAAAAAAAAAATTCTTTTTTGGTGTTTTGAGAAAATTAAAAAAAAATAAATAAATAAATAAAATAAAAATAAAAAAAATATATATATATATATATATATATATATATATATATATATATATTTTATTTTTTTTTATTTTTTTTAAAGCTGTATTTCATTTTAGAGTCAAGCCTAGGCCTCATAAAAGCAATTTTTGAAATGAGATGGATGTCATCTGGTGGACAAACTGAGCATTTTAAAAATGCAAAACACATGTATAATCTGAATTTTTTGGTGTGTTTGTGTATAAAAGTGTGTTTGTGTGTGTGTGTCTGGATGTGTCGGTTTTGCACTCTTGATGTTTTATAGATTCACCCCTTCACTGTTGTGTGCTTTTTTTCAAGATTGTGGCTGATTTGTAGATTTTACGCACAAAAAAACTCAGTATTTTCACATTTTTGCCAATTTCCCATTCATTTTCCATGCGGGTCCATTTGGACCCGAACACCCCAAGTGTGACTATTTTTTTACAACCACTTAGACTACTCACATCCTGTCCCCAATTTTTTGGGTGTTCAAATACCAACAAAGTCACCAGATTTCGGACCATTCCGAGGAAGCTTGTTTAAAAAAACATTTTTTATTTAAATTCTTCGGGTCTATTTGGGCCGAACAACCCCAGAGGGTTAAACAAAGAGTTTAGTGTTTATCATATCCATCAATGGTTGGCTCTCATGACCAATGAGCATCTAATTCACACTGAAGAACTTTTTTTATTTTTTTATAAGTAAATTTTTAATTAAGTATACAAGTCTTAATTTTCCGTGTATTGTACCTCTGTGAGTAGTTCTTTCTCGCGCACAGAAGCTCTGCGCTGTTCCTCTAGCGCTCGCGAGTATTTCACAGCCTGTTCCAGGTGTCTGTCTTTCAGCAAACCCAACTCACGAGTACAAGACTCCTTGTCATGCCTCAACCTGACCCAGAAACACACAGGTAGAAACGTTTTTACACTCAGGCATTTGACTTGCAATGTATTTAAGGTACACATCTTAATCATTTTGGCGCTTTTCCCCTGCTGGTACGGTTCGGCTCGGTGCAGCACGGTTTGGCTCGCTTCGCTTTTCCACTGCGTGGTGTGACTCGGCTCGGTCCGGCACGGCTCGGTTCACTTTAGCTCAGTTTGCTTTTCCACTGCAGTTAATACCGCTTCAAAGTGGGTGGGATTATAGTCTGACGGATGAACCATGATGTAAGTGCATGCCGAACCGTAGGTGGAGAACAGTACGGTTAGACCTCTAACATATACATATATATGCACCTCTCCAGCTGTATCCGGTCCTGTCGCAGCTCTTGTGCTTTGCGTTCGGCACGACTGCGCTCCTCCTCGGCCACACGGCAGCGCTGAGACAGACGTCGCTCGCACAGACGACTGCCGCGCAACTGTTCTCGCAGCTTACGCACCTCCAGCAGCAGAAACTGAGTCAGACCCTCAGGACCCTCCTCATCTACACACACAGTATTACAAAAATAACATTAAACTGCTGCATGAATGACCATTAAAGTCATCTTTTCTTGCCTCTAGTGACGTATATCCACATGAAACCACTTCTCAAACAAGAACAAATGTAGGGCAGGGCTTGATTTGGTCCGTGTGGAATTGATTGAATGTTTGTGGTTTGCTATTGGTGGATCTGGTTTTGATTTACAGGTTGCCCCGCCCTCACGCCAATAAACACGTCATCAGAGAAGGAGGGGAGATTATTTTGAATCAAGATTACGAAGAATATGAAAAAAGAATGCATGTGCAAAAATCCTCATTGACCAAATCCAATCCCATTTCAACGGATATACGTCACAACAGGGAAGAAAAGACTGGAGCAACTTCCGTTAAGACGGCAGAAACGTGACGCATTCACACACCCAGCATGATGGAGCAGCGTTGAGTCGGTTGTTGTCCGGTCAGCTGTGTGAACTGCTCCGGATGATAAAACTCCAGTGACTCCATGAAAGCCTGCAGACCGCGCTCGCCACGCCCCCTCAGGATGTCCAATAAACGGCCTGCACACAACAACCAATCAAATCACTGCTGATACTGACACACTGGCCAACCAATCACAGCACACTGTATATTCTCTCTCTGTAAATGTGAAGGTTTGCTTAAATTCACATATTATCCATCCTAAATAGTATGTGATGTGAGGATGAGTGCATAATAAATCAAAGCACACTAAAAACGGTATGTCAAAGAGGAGAGTGTGCTATTTAGAGTAATATTTGCATTGGTAAATGAGTGTTGATGAGTGTGGTAATATTAGGCCAAGTCATGTTTAGTTATATAGTGCTTTATAAAATTCAGATTTCTTCACAAAAAGAAAAAAAAACAGGGAAATATTAGTGTTGTAAAATTCACCAATTATGAAACAACTTGAAATTATGAAATTTCAGCTGTAAAGCAGCTCTTGAATATAATAGTCATTATTCAACTTAATTCAGTTAAAGTTTTGTTCTCATCCGATTGTGTCAAGTGTAGTCAAATCGATAACATTTGTAATTGTTAATTATCTTTAAGCCCATATTTGACTCACAACCCCGTTCTTTACAAAAGAGGAGAACTTGTTTCCCTGTTGACTTTTCCAGATGTGCGTGTGAGGCTGACGATTTTTAATGAATGAACCTGAGCGCAAACAGTAAGAACAAACCGCTCGTGGTACCATGACTCAATCTTATGACGTTGCAGAATTTCCAAAACAGCCGTACTGTCTTACTACACGCTCTGAACTATGAACTTTACACTAGTGAGTGAACAAATGGAGCTGACGGCTGAATCAATTGAGCCAACTGATTCACTCTTTTGAAATGAACATCATCCTAACCTTTAAATTACCTTCTATTAACATTAAGGAAACTGGACATTGGTATGTTCTTAGAATGTTACAAAACAGCATTATTATAATTTTGAGTTGTTAATAAAAAATAAGTTGAAAGCAGAGATGGGAGTAAGTCCCACGTCCCACATGTTGAAGTCTCAAGTCCCTACCATCAAGCAGAGGTGGAAAGTCAAAGTAAAAGTCCTGCCATATTTTCATTTCACCCATGAACTCACACAGCAAAAACTCCAGTGTTAAATGAACTTTCCTAGGATTTTTTTTGGCTCCAGAAGCGTTAAACACTATTGAGTGTTTATTTAAGTTAATTTTAAGTTAATGAACTAATTAAGTGATTGATTGAGTGATGATTGACCATTATTGAAGACACCTGATGTTAACAAGCAGAATCAACAAAGGAGAAAATCACATTTTAGTCACCATTATAGTGATCAGTATTTGCTTTAGTTGGTCTCTTCATCCTTAAACTATTAACGTTAGATTAAGTTTTGCTGCTGTAATTGAGTTAAGCAGCATTTCGAAAGCACCCATGCCTACTTTCTGTGTTTTGCATCCTCACCGGCTCTGCTGATTCTCATCGGATACTGACTGGAGTTGAGCACCTCGTCCTCGTCCTGCTCGTCGATCACCTTACACTGCCGCAGATACGGTGTCAGCTTCGCCGGGTTTAAAACGCGGGTCAGTTTGTGTCGGACTCCTTCCACTCGCTCCCACAGCTCCTCGCACTTCTCCTCCTCTGACGGGGTCATGACCGAGCTCTCGTCTCCCTGCAGCCATTCACCTGTGGAAACACAAGATCTTCACAGGGGGCTCTTCTCAAATGTAGGAGGTTTCGGTAGCAAGAAAAGTGGCAAAATTGTGCCCATTTCCTGTTTTTGTGGTTGTTGCAGTTGCTACATCAATGATGGTAATATAAAGGTCAAAATATAGCTTATTATAGGTCACAACTCCTACACCTTATATACTTACACACACAACAAATCATCAACACTCCAGATGTAAGATGTTCTCTAAATTCAGTATATAAGCAGTGCTACAGCACACAGTGTAAAAGATTATAAAAAAAGAGATTTGTTTGTGAATAAAATATGTACCTTTTTCCAAACCTGACCTGCATAAATTAACTTGAAAATTCAAAAGAAAAATATAACTTAGAAAAAAAATGAAACGCCCAAACAAATAATGGATTTAAAATGAATTTCTTCTTTGCTCCCTTTGGTAAAAGCACCTTTAAAATAATGAAAATCTCGATCATGAAACATTTCATGCCAGTGAATCGGTGAGTGAATCTCTGAACAAGCTTGCTTGACAATATGATTCAAAAGATTCAAATCTCAGGGTCCCAATGACTGTAGAGTGATGAGAGATCCAAAGTCTAAATCTGTGGCGCACAAATGCATGCAACACACTCTTTGCGGCAATTCATAGATATTTTTCTATTTGGTGGAAATTTATGTCAATTTTAAGTTTTGGTGGCAATTCATATTTTATGTTTTGTTCGTAATTTAAAGCCATTTAATGTTTTGGCTGAAATTTGTTTCAGCATCAATTCAAAACTATTTTATGTTTTGCCGGCAATTCGTAGCTGTTTTACATTTTGGTTTCAATCCGAACATTCGTAGATTTTTTATGTTTTGCTGGCAATTCGTTGATAATTTAAGTTTTAAATTGAGTTTATTTGACATAAAAAGTAGTAATACGGTAACCATAAAGTTAACACAATTAAGTTGCATTATTTCTATTGTGGTCCTTGATTTTTGTTCAAACTTGGACAAACGTCCAGCTAAAATGTTTCATGGAAAATATCTATATTAATTATGTGTATATATTATGTTTTTATGCTAAAGTTTTGAGAATTTTATTGAAGACCAGATAATGTTGAACGCGTTTGTTCATAATTTTTAGAAAGCCTTGCCAGAACGTTTGCCAAAGTTCGGAAAAACGTTTCCTGTTAGCTGGGTTCATGCTTGCTTCATTGTACAAATGAATACAGCATCTCTTCGTTTTTCAAGAGATTGAGGTGAACACACATGATGAAGGTGAAATATCACAGATCCACATGATCATAAAACACAGATGTGAGCGTATGCAATTCATGAGGGCCGACAGAGCGACTGTAAGACAGAAGTTCTCTCACAGCAAAAGAATGCAGGCGGTACCATTCTCTCACTGTACACGAGACATCATCAAACAGAGTGATAACACTGCCGGAGGAACTATGGGAAACAAACTTTATTTTCACCCAGCCCTGTCGATACCTGTACACCCACAGGAGATATGGAGATATCACTTACGTTTCGTTTAACTCTTAACTTTGTCTCACAAGATGTTTGAAACATAGCTTTTTGTCTTAAGCTAAAAAAATAATAATAAATAAATAAATAAATAAATAAATTCTACCAGTAGGACTTTCCAAACAAACAATGGTCTACCTCCTGAGAGATGATGAAGATTAGGGGTGTGTGAGGGGTACTTATGCGTCTCTGTTCAGGTGAGGCAGGTCCGAACACATGCTGGAATCTCAATGAATGTCTCATAGTGAAGGAATCCACAGCTGGGAACTTTACAACTACACACTACAGACTACATTACAAACAAAACACACAACAACACTACAACAATTTGAACATAATGCTAACATAAAACTACTACAGACACTACACTAAAAACTAACAACCCAGCTAACCTGGAACGTTCTCAGAACTTAAGGTTTTCTCAAAGTTATGAACAATGTAGTAATGTTAAAAGAACCTTCGTTCAGATTTATCTGTTTTTTTTAATAATGTAGTACAAAACATTACACATTCTTCATGGAACTTTTTTTTTTTTTATCTGACACATTTTAGATGAGATGGTCATCATGTAAACAAATTTCAATGTAACAATTTTTACAACGTTCAGAAAACATTCCGAAATAACGTTCCCATAATGTTTATAAAATGGAGCGTTCCCTTAATGTTCGCATGACCATGAAAACAAAAACAAAAAAGAAAAAGAACATTCCGAAATGGAACGTTAGCAAAACGTTTTTAGAACATATGTGTTAGCTTGTAGTAAAACAACAACACAAGTTTGACGTTTAAACGTGTTTTAGTCCATAATATTACATAACGCCAAAGTATCGTTCTTTAAATCTATAATTAATGAATTTATTAACTCTGATCGTGTTCTGTATTATCGACTCATCAAGCAGCTGATGAGGCTGAACATAAACATCTTACCGCTCATGATCCACAGCAGATGAGCAAACGAGATGAGCGAGGGAGAAAACACTTCAGACTCAAGTCAGAGAAGGTGACAAGCCAAGTTTGATGAGCAAACCGTGTCTCTCTCTCTCTCTCTCTCTCTCTCTCTCTCTCTCTCTTTCTCTCTCTCTCTCTCTTCTTTTATATCACCTCTCACTCCGTCAATGTCTATATCCAAGTATAATGAGAGAATAATCCTCAAAATGCCCGAGTCACTCAACATATGAGTGTGTCACAGTGTGTCACAATGTTCGTGTTAATATTTCACTAGTGTAATAATTAGTCACGTTACGGGTGGGTCCGAGTCAGAGAGTTCAGTGACCTCCTGCCGGTGAGGGTGAGGATGAGGATGATCCACTGGAGGGAGACACTGGATATCAACACGTCTCTTTTACGACGTCCGAAGTATTATTAATGCAAAAATTACAAATGCCCTTCAGATACCTGAATGACGCACTTCATTAACCGAAAATATGAAGAATAGGCCTATATGAATGCTGCTGGATTCACTTAGCTTTAAGCTTTTCTTGCTTCCAGCTTCCCGACGTTGAATGTGGACGGTTAGAGTGTGTGAATCTTTTAGTAATGTACTTAGGTTAAACATATTTGGTTGAAAATGTACAGCTCATTGATGGTGATAAAAACGTAAATAAATTTAAAAAAAATAATTAATTAGACCATAATTGTGACTAAAATAACGAGCAAATAATGTATTTCAATCGCGATTATTACATCCAAAATAAAAGTTTGTTTGTTTGTGTTTGTGTGTGTGTGTGTGTGTGTGTGTGTGATGTGTATTATTATTTTTCTTGTATAAATACACATGCATATATTTAAGAAAAAAATGTGTTATTTATAAAATATTTTTTTGTGTAGGCTAATATAAATTATGTATAAATATATATACAGTATACATGCAAATATTTCTTAATAAAAATGTCTTTTTCTTCAATTTCTTACTAAATAAAAATGCACAGTAGGCTGCAGACATACAAACTTTTATTTTGGATGTAATTGCTGCCCAGCAATAATTGTAATTATTATATTTGCTCGTTTAGTATAGTCATTAATTACTAATGAACTATTTAAAACTGACATAAACTTAAAATACACACATTAACACACAAAATAACACACATCTGTTTAGCTGTGCATTTACTGAATGAGCACTGTGCCACTGTTCGTCCGTACTGCACTTCATTTTATTTTAATTGGTTTTAATTTACTGTATTTTATTTTTATCATAATTTTTATTTTTCATTATTTCTTATTTTTTATTCTAAACTGTTTTAATTATTCTGATTTCTTTTTTGGATTATTTTTATTTCTTCTATGTAAAGCACTTTGAATTGCCATTGTGTATGAAATGTGCTATATAAATAAACTTGCCTTGCCTTGCCTTGCCTAAAATTAAAAACCATGTAACTGTTTAAAATGTACAATGTTATTCTGTTGTTTTTTTCTTTTATATACCCCTATAGGTCATTTGTGCAACATGCTTATTCCTCAATAAAATAAATAAATACATAAATAGACAACTTAGACAGTACAGTGTATAATAGAAGTAGCCTACATTTGGGCAAAACCTTCTTATATTATTATATAATTTTGCATTTAGATAACGTTCCCACATTTAAATTGGAATAACTTAAAAATCCAAGTAGTCTCTCAATGCAACTTCACATTTCAAGTTGACTAAACTTAAAAACTTCAAACACTTGCAACTACTTTTCACAGTATAAATAAATTGCCTATTTGTTTTAACATTTTTATGTAGATGCCGTACTGATTTTTACGTGGATGAAAAAGAGGTTGTGAGAGCTAAACAATTTCTTCAGCTAAACAATTGGCATGTTGTTAAACAACAGTACAACCATTGAATGAGTCCGATCACAGCCCCGTTTTCATTCCTGACAAAAATGAAATATGTGTTGATGTGTTTCAGATGTCCAGCTCAGGGTTTGATGTCTCATCACTGACAGCGTGTTCATGTTCTGTCTGTTCATCTGTCTTGCGCTCAATCGTCTCTCTGTCCCACCAGCACAACACTGAACACTCGGGCAGAAGCTGAAGATCAGGAGACGTCCAGCGGTTCAGCGAGGGAGGAATGTGGCAGCCGAGCATCGAGTCCCATCCAAACACATAATCAGAGCTTTGTCCTGCAGAAGAATGACTCTGTATGACTCCTTTTGTGCCATTAATAGACAGCACAGAACAGGATCTGACATCATCTGAGCTGATTAGCATTTCAACACTTGGATGAAAGGAAGGAGCATATTTTTCAAGTGCTTCTAAAATGTCATACAAATCGTTGTCGTACAGTAAGATTTTAAAACTAAAAAATGAATGATGAAAAATGGTTGAGTTCAAATAGATATATCTCCCTTTAATACCGGTCAAAGTATGGAAATAATTCGATTTTTGCAGTTTTGCGAGCAGCTGTGTCGAGCATAATATATTGTATTGTAATATATTTGGCCTATTTAGTACCATATATAAGGATACGGCAGAAATAATAGCCAAGTATGCAACTATTCTGAATGCAGCCTCTGATTCATATTCAACTAATTGAGGCGTAATTTAAATACAGTGATTCAAAGTACTGATTCATTCGAGTCATCATTGTTCCCACAGCCTCTTTAAAGTATTTTTTGCTCTACTTAAATGCTTATATTATGAGCTTGTACAAACACTGATGAGTTCCACATGTCCGATCAATCAGAAAGGGTGCGTCAGCGTCAGGTGATCAAGTCTGAACATGAGTGAGTATCACTGGAATCTGCATCATACAGGATTCAGATATTATCCTCATACCAGACACAAAAACCATGAGAAACTACAGACAGGGAACCATTATGTTATTGTATTACGTCCAAAATTAGCCTTACCTGTGATTCCTGCCACTAGTCACCACGTAATTTTTCACATGACCACAGACTGAGCCCCTACATGTTTTAGTAGAGATAACCATGCCCACTTCAAACATTCACCCTATTGCAAATGTTAATGGAAATTGACTTGAAAATTTATAACCAGACTCCAGAGAATCAGGCAAAAAAAAAAAAAAAAAAACTAGGTCTAGCTCACGAAAGTATACAAGTTTCTTGAAAACATCCGCTGAATTTCACTGAAATCACCTGAGTTTTTTAAAATGTTGTATCAAGCCCATACACGAGTGTTGTTCGACTTGAACTGATCACAGAGTGATCAGTGAATAATATGAAAATATAGCGAGAGCGACAGCTCCATATGCTTTTCAATCACTCTCACGGTACTTTGATGTCATAAACCGAAAGTGGCAAGTAGAAGTGGAAAGTGGGAGAGATGAGGGAGGCTAACCAGAGTTGGAGGATTCTCCAGTGTCATACAAGTCTGGTTTTTGTGGGAACATTTTGGATTTCGTTATTTAAATATATACAGGGGCATTTTAAGTTTAGACTCCAGTCATGTTTCCAAATACTGCACTTTTATTTCAAGTGAAAAAAAAAAATGAAAAAAAAAAGTACCCTCACTCTCAGGAATAGAAGAATTGTTGATGCCGTGTGTTGACGTTGAGCTTGTTTCACTTTGATCATGGCCTTTGCTATAGCCTAATTATAGGCAATTGTTTCATGCATTTTGAAATAAGACAATTTGAAGAGTTCCCCTCTTTAAAAAAAAAATAATTTAAGAGCTAGACTTAAATTGGCATTTTAATAAGTACAAGTTATTTTCAAACTTTGCATGCTAAAAAAATAAAAATAAAAAAAGCACATAAGTTCATTTAAAGATAGTGATACACATTCCACTTTCTTGCCAAATAAACAAAACGCATGTGATCAAGGTCTTCTCTTCCTGTATCTTACCTTTCCTTGAGATGGTCCCAATATAATGTGCTTGAGGTCGCATCAAAATCAGTTTGTGCATGATATCTTTAATACTGGATCCTAAATTGGATAATTAAGTTACACATCATATGCTAAAGAACTTCTGGAGTGTTTAAGATTAAAAGAAAAACAAGAACATGGACCCCAACACTGTGATAAAAACTGAACCGTTGGTTTTGTGAACCGTGCCATACCTAGCTTTTAATGAAACATCTGAACCATGTAAACTAGATAAATGTTTGTATATTATTTGTGCAAGTAAAGACAAGTACAAATATACATTTGATCACCATTTATTTCATATTTACATGACATTTCCAGTTATTTCTGGCCATAGCCATATTCTTTAACATTGATTGGGCCGACAGATGCTTTCTCCCAGCGTAGATCTGAGGAACAAAGGATTAGTGAGAACTAAAGCCATGAATCCCAACAACAAGTCATCGGAGTTAGTCCATACCTCTAAGCAGTTGATCACTTCCGCTTCTGATGCTACACGTTGTGTCACAGCAGCCACAAACCTGGTCAGAATCATCTGCAGACACCCACCTGACAGAACAAACCCTCAATTAAGGGAACGCAACTAATTCACATGTACACTTATCTAGCAGGAAACATACCCATTAGAAGAGAAGGAACAAGCTTTCTGTTCAGGGCTTGAGGTTGCTGCAGCCACCTTCAAAACACATGTGATGTAGACCTGCAGAGACAATTGTTTGTAAACCATGGATATCATATACAAAGAGTTGTACAACTACAGGACATGCATACCAGCCCACTGTCTGCTTGCTGGAACCTGAAGGCCTCTAGCTGAAACCTCAGCTTATCAACTTGAGTCCTGGGCATAAAGCGAGACGTGGAGCCTGTGAGCTTGGCGTCAACCAGGCACCTGTGAACAGAACCCAGTTAGAAATGACAACCTTTCTGGAAGCTGGGACACATGAAGTAGCATCTCTTACCCATTATTCTCAATAAAGGAGTATCTGGGGACAGAAGCAACATCAGGGACTGCAGTAGCCACACAGCTGTCCACAAACACACGGATGGGAACATGGTTGTACAAAAGCACAGATGCTTCAAGATTTATCATATCACCCAGGAAGTACTGGTTAGAAGGTCTCTCAAATCTCCAGTCATCTGCAAAGAAAACAAGTCTTAAAGATGATTCACAACCATTCTACAAATCTGTATGGGCTACACGAACCAGTCATGAGCTTGAGGGAGAAGACGAACACATCCTCTGCAACCTTAGTTGAGGCATATGGGATCCAAGTGGGCATTAAGGCATTGCTGCTCAAATTATGTGTTCTGTGGGAGTTAAACAAGCAGTCATCTCTTGCCCATAAAC